AAGGAAGGAAGGAAGGAAGGAAGGAAGGAAGGAAGGAAGGAAGGAAGGAAGGAAGGAAGGAAAAGGGACTGAAGCAAAGAAAGAAAAATAGAATAAATCTTATAGGCATTCTTTTTTTTTTCCTTTTGATGGCAGGAAATGTGCATCTTGCCAAGTTTTAAAGACAGTAATAATTCAGTATTTCCCAGTTCTGTGTCCTCCCTCCCTTGCCTCCCAACAGCCACCATTCATAATTAGAATCTTGATGATACATTGAAGTAGAAGACAAAGCTTTTTTTTTTTTTAATGTTCTAGTTAGTAAGAGTTGTTTAAGACTCTCTTGTCAATTTGTATGCCTCTCAGTTTCCATGGAGGACCAGTGTTTATCATCTGTGTAAATGGGGAGAAAACCTAAGCCAGGTTGGATTATATGTGTGTACATGAGTGTGTGCGCACATATGCTACACCCACATACAAAAGTCTTTAATCCAGTGTTTCTCACCCTTGGCAACTTTTAAGATGTGTGGACTTCAACTCCCAGCATGGCTGGCTGGGGAATTCTGGGAGTTGAAGTCCACACATCTTCAAGTTGCCAAGGGTGAGAAACACTGCTTTAATCGCTAAGTTCCTACCAACCTTCCCTATCCTGAGGTCTTTCTGATGGATTGAATGATACTTCCCAGAATTTCCTGCCAGCATTGACAATGGCATTTGGTGTGTTGTGGTCCCAACACCAGACTGAGGGCAACTCTGAAATGTTACACTTAGCCCCTGAAGAATAAAAGTACATAAAAACAGTAGGATACTATTGTACATAATTCTGGGAAGAGAACCGCTGCTCTACACAGAAGGGTTAGATTTGCTAAAACATCTCACTCATGTATTGGATATAACTCCTTCCCCTGTGCCCCTTGCCTTGTTCCCAAATACAGCACTTGTTCACCAGCCATACGTAGACATGTTTTGCCCCAACACATCACTTTGTGCTCCAGAAGGAGCACAAACAGCCATCGAAACACTGTGACAAAGTGATTTGCATCCGTGGCTCTTGGAAGTTTGGGAAAAGGCTCTTGCACATGCACAGAATCCTCTTTTGGCTACTGGATGTTCTGGAGAAGGTCCCAGCAGTGAAGCAAAGGACTTTTGGCAATGGCATTTGGCACACATGGACATTTATCTTACAACAGGGCAAATTTCTCATAACATCTTAGAAATAAGCAGGTTTAAATAGGTTCAGGAGAGGGTTGTCGTTGTTTGCAACTAAATAACCTTGATTTTTTAAAAAAAATTGGATTAAAGTTTGAAACATTTTTTGGGGGGGAGCATGTCTTTCATATATATCAATGCATGCACGCACATATATGCCTATATTCGTGCTCACATGCTCACTTTCTTGCACAATGTTAAACGGAGCAATATTGAAGTGCAAGAATTCCTGCCC